AACGAACCTGTGCTTTGTGACCACTACATCGAAAGTAGCTGAACGACAATGATCCTCCTTACGCTTCCGTTCGTTGCATTTCTGACAAAGATGGTTCTTGAACACACAGAGTCTGACGAAGTGTCATCCCCACATTGCCAGGCTGCATATGATGACCTACTTGGCTTCACAGAATTCAGTACCTTCGCTGCTGTCTCTGCGCTACTTAGACACCGCCAACACATCTACGGGACATGGACCGCGTTTTTGAGTAATCGTAGGCATTCGGTGATGATGAAAGGGTCTTGCGCAATTTTTCTAATTCGACTCATGTTTATTTCGGTATGTGATATAGAAGCAAATGTTGGTAGCTCAGGTTGTTCTTTTGGTGGTCTGAGAGTTCGCTGAGCTTGGCTGTTTTGCTGCACACGTTTCGTCACCACCCGAGGTGAGTGACATCGTCGCTGCGCGTTTATGTAGCAGAGCGGCGCGCTACGAATCGTCAATGAGTGTGAGTGATCGATCCTCTAACCGTCAGAGTTTGAATTGTTCGAGGAGCACATGACCATCGAAATCGATCTCTGATTCTTGCCTCGTAGCGTCCGCGCGCGTGCCTCTTCGGTTGTCGTCGATGTTTGACGCACTTGTCCGGCGTTCTGTTCCGTTAGATTTGGTCCCTTAATTCGGTGATCTTTCATCCGTAGCGTTGCATATATAGCATCGGTTTGTTGAATTGTCTGTACAATATCATGTTTCCAAGAACTATCTAGGTTGCCTCCGATTATCACGGGCTAGAGTCTTTACTTTCTCTATGTCAAAGTATGACCTACTTGGTCTTCATACATGGGAAACCAGTAAATGCGAGTCGTGTCTCCGTATGGCCATTTTCTGTTCGTTGATCTATGTTGAAAGTTTCCTTCCGGTTTGCCCGGTGTAGTGTTTGTCACACTCTGCAGTTAATTTTGTAGATGACACCATTCTGACTGCCTTGTTCGACTTTTTCCTTCGGTCTTGAAAGCAATCTTCGCAAAGTATCAGTTGGTTTGTAGGCTACCATGATTCCATGTGGTAGCAATCCCTACGTTAATTCAGACATGTTCTTGATGTAAGGCACCGCTACCTGTTAATCTACGTTTTCCGGCTGTTGTTGATGCACCCTTTTCTTTCGGTTTCTCTTGATGAAGTTTCTTGGATACCCTTTGTTTTGCAATACCCGGTATGGATGGTTTTCTTCCTTCTTCCTCAATTCTGTCGTGCTGCAGTGTGTTTCGGCGTTTATGAAATAGCTTTGAATGCGGCTTTTCTTGTGGCCCAGTGGATGATTGCTGTGGTAGTTTTATGTTTGGTCTGTAGAGGGCTTCTTTCGATATACACATGTTTGAAGCGTTCCGTCAGTGTTTCTGTGGACCGGTACATCTACGAATGGTAATTGGTTGTCTTTTTCGAGTTCAACGGCAAACTTGATATCCTGGGAGGTGTTGATTTGTATGGAATCTCGTTTGATGATGACAAATGTATCGTCCACCTACCGAATCCTTAACTTTATTTTGATTAACGGTATTTTGACACTCCAGTTTTTGCATCATAGCTTCTGTAGTAAGTCCTGAGATGGGCGATCCCATGGGCGTTCCTTTCAGTTGTTGGTATGCTTGCCCATCAAAGTATTAATAAGTAGTCATGCATAGGTCCAAGAGTTCCCATATGCTCTCTGGCTTGAGGTTTTCTATTGTGTTCGGTTGATTTCGAAGTAATTCCATCATGGTTTCTTCTGCAAATTCGTGACCGATCGACGTGAAGAGTGCGGCGACGTCAAACGACAGCATGATTTCATATTCCTCTATTATAACACACTTCAGTTTGTTGATGAATTGTTCAGCGTTGATGATGCCTTGTCCAGATCTGACAATTAGATGTTTTAATTTCTTCCACATGCACCTTGCCAATTTGTACGATGGGGATGCTGACATCGAGACGTTTGGACGCAATGGGCTCCGTCTTTGTGTACCTTTGGCAGTCCATAGAACCTTGCAATGTTTGTATGCTCAGCTTTCGTCTTCCATTGATCCTGCTTGGTAATCTCACTCATTGCTTGTCGTTTCTTCAAGGCTGTGTTGATTTGAGTAACCAGTTTCGTATTGGGGTCCTGATCTATATGGCGATATGTGGTCGTGTCGGAAAGGAGTTGTTTGGTCTTTGCAGTGTAATCTGGTTTCTCCATTACTACTGCCATGCGTCCCTTGTCTGCTGGTAGGATTACAATATTGTCTTCCTTCTGTAGCCTTCTGAGTGTTTCCCGTTCTTCCTTTGCAAGAGTATGTGTGAACTTGTTGCGAGTTATCATAGGGACGACCGTTTGTTTTATTTCCTGCCGCGATTCTTCTGACAGTCCGTTTGTGTTCAAAACCTGTTCCAGATTAGCCAACTTATCCTTAAATGACGCATCTTTGCCGTTACAGTTTAGAAATTTGATTACTATGTTCTCCTCCGTTGTACTCAACGGAGTGCCGGACAGATTTTCGATCCATCCTTCTCTGTTGTGGTGGTCAGACTTTCTCGTAAGCTTATTCAGTTCCAGCTTATTTAGTTTCATTTTACGCTGGTTTCTGATATTGTTTACTCGACATCGATTCGCGGATTCAAGCTTTGCAAGTTTTGAGGGGCGCATCTCAATAAGGCAATCAGTTTTGTTGTCATTGATGACCTTTTCATACTTTTGAATGCGATTATGGGCATCTGTTATTATTAATTTGGCCATTCGCGTCCCCTACGGTTTTGCTGCTTCCCAGGCCTCTGGATGATCTAACGCCCGTCTGTGGTTCAAACTTGGTGGCAGAACATTCCGTCTCAGACATTCGTGGAGGATGTATAGCTGCTCGCGTGTGGAAGCTTGTCGACGGGTAAAGCTTTTCCAACGGCGAGCTTGCTGAAGCGTTATACGCCCGAATAGCTATGATATAGAAGCAAATGTTGGTAGCTCAGGTTGTTCAGTTGGTGGTCTCAGTGTTCGCTGAGCTTGGCAGTTTGGCTGCAAACGTTTCGTCACCACCCGAGGTGACATCGTCAGTGCGCATTTATGTAGCAGAGCGGCGCAGTACGAAGCGTCAGTGAGTGTGAGTGATCGATCTTCTAGCCGTCAGTCTGAGTTTGGATTGTTCGACGGGCACATGACCATCGAAATCGATCTCTGATTCTTGCCTCGTGGCGTACGCGCGCGTGCCTGTTCTTTTGTGTTCCTCTTTTGGCGCATTTGTTCGGCGTTCTGTTCCGTTATATTTAGTCTACTAATTCGATATTTTTGGGCGCTTGGAAACCACGAACGAAAATCAATACATTGAACTGACCGTCCCTCATCTGTTTTAGCCTGAAATTCTCGCATTGACGCATGACATTACTTGCATATTTACCTGATCTGCACTTCTTGGGATTCATGCAGCTGTATTGTACATTGAATGAAGAAGACTTTTTACTGAAAATGTCATTTAACAAAGGTGCAAGATGTTAGAAACCGAAATATCTAGAAAATTTAGACAAGATAGAATTGCGTAATTTGTCTTGCCCACTTTTTCCAGTTTCCATAAGAGCAGTATGCACTTCTGTCGGTCATCAGCATCGGCAAATTCAGATCGAAAAACACATTCATATCAGCTGGACTACGGTTCAAAGATGTGTCAAGCATCCGGTCACATTGGGACTCACAGAAGCTGCTAAAGATGACATCCACTGAAGAATGTGCTTTTTGTGTTTGGTCTTGCATGCAACGCAAGGCGATGTATGATTTTCTCATTCAACCGTGTCTGACCCTCTCCAAAGCGTCTGTTCATATTGAAGTATAACCGTGAGATCTTTTACTGGAAATGACATTTTCGGGTTCTCCAATCAAAATACCCATTCGTCAAGTTGTTCTGGTCCCCAAGATCCAGTCATGCCGCTCTGGTTGGTTGTTTTGCGCCCGGCCGCTTCTTTTGGCTGATTAAGAGAAGAGTCGTCGGTTGCCAGTTCAATTGTCACAAATTACAGGGCAATAACAGCGCAAACGAGCGTTTTTTATATTCGCGATGATCTTGACTGTTTTATGTTCCATCATATTCCTTATTTGGCAGTGTAGCATCAGATTGTTCGAGAACATTTTTCTGCTCAACAAGTTTGATTATTCCGCGAAATTTCAAGGACGACTGCCGAAATAGAGTTCTCCGATCTTTCCCTCAAGAGATGATCCTCTTTACAATAGAATCCGTGTGCCGCTTATTTTGTGAAATTTTGGATGATTACTGCCGTCACGATGAGACTGGACTTTAATGTGGTGTGACGACTTGCGTACCTTCGACTCATTGAGCTATACTGGGTAGGCAAAAATTAACTTGGCAGCGGTTACTGAACTCACTGACGACTCAACTCGGTGCCGTCTTACCTTACAGGCTGGAGTCCACTTGAACCACCTTGTGCTTGGCTTTAGACGTTACAGGACATGACTCGTAGTCGACACCAATGGAGTGTCTGTTGTCGTCTCCTAGTCAGATTGCCTGTTTAAAGTGTGTTTGGTGCTGAGTTATCTGCGGGGTAATGGCTGATTGTGACGCGGGGCAGTGAAAATCGCAAGGAAGCTATCTCGCTGATGCCGCTTTAACTTTGTGATGGTATGTTGTTGACAAGGTGTAGGCGCCTTAATCCCGAGTGTTTATTTAGGGCATTATGGTTTTATGGGAAGTCCCTCTTCCCTTATTGTTCTTCGTTCCGTAGGTCATCGTGGTTGTACGGCATTGAAGCACCAGTTCAAATGGCTGATCTACTGCTGTTGATGATGATGATGGATGATTACTGTTGATAGTTAGGATTTGGTTAATGTGCACGCTTTTCTTGGGCGCGGTACTAACGTTCTACTTATACTTTGTCTTTCCTCCCCCATTACAATCAGTACTGCTCGCGTTTCGGACTTTAAGTTCCAGTATATATGTGCTACTAGTTCTCCTTCATTGCTCGTATTCTCATCGGCTAATTATCCTTATGATCTGCTTTCTTTTCAGACACAGTTACTCCGTAACCTCCTCCTGATATTCATTTAACCGCATCTTAAGAGATGTGCTCACGTTTACCAGTGGGGATTTTTTCACGCATATGGAGACCGATGTGGAGACCGACACAACTATTCTGCTCGTCTTCCCCCACCATCACCAAGCTCAGTGATCACGAAGACGAGTTAGTCGATTCCATGGATTCTAGCGGCGCAGCACCGGAGACGCCGGGGAAGAAGTACAAACTCAGCCAGGGTGGTGATATCAACTCGGTGCAAATACTCGGGACAAACATTGGAGTTAGGGTATTTGGCTTCATGAATTTTCAGATTGCTTTGCTTTATTCGACCCACAGTTCCACTCATCTGCTATAGCCATACTGCCATTCCCACTTTAAATATTTATTCATTGCTACAGTTGCACTTTGCCATTGTTTTTGTGTTGTTCGCTTTGGTCCAATGTCATAACCATTGAGCTGTCCACTTCGTAGAGGTGGCTTCTCGCTTAGTTACCGTAAGTAGCTTGGCTTGTGAAAAGTTTCTGTGTGACTCCATTCGAGTAACTGCCGACCTCGGTCGGCATTCTCCCACACTTGACCCCTTCACCCCTCTGTGGGCTTCTGGAGACCGAGAAACTAGCCTGCTTTTAGATGCATGTTCAGCGTCTTTTTAAGTAACTGGTCCAACTGAAAGATTGCCAAGCTTCCGGGTTATATGTCATTGGTATCACCGAGACGTGCTTGTATACGGGATTGACAAACGCTGAAGTTTCACTACCGGGCATATCGCTGATCCGCAACGATAGGCTCACAAAAGGAGGAAGGTGTAATCCTGTATTGCCGAAGCGACTTACAGTGCGAAGCCGTGGCAGATTCAGACTCGCAGTTACGAGACTCTTTGGTTCCGCTTGCACTTAAAAGACAGAGACGCTTGCCTTATTTTCTTGGTGTACCGCTCCTCTAACTCTACACCCGAACCCGACTGCCACCTAGCGACTGCTTTATGATGCAGTTTACAACAAAAGTGCACTCACATACTTATCATGGGTGTTTTCAATGTACATTGTGTAGAAACTCCTGTCACGATCGGAGAACAATTCAGAGCCGATCTACAGAACCTCGTAATTACGGTACCTCTTTACAATCACATCACTGCCCACTCGGTTCAGAACCGGTACCAGGCCATGTGTGCTGGATCTAGTGCCTACCAACAAGGAGCATATGATTGATGTGTTGGTTTAAGACTACCCGTTGGGTCGCAGTGATCAGTTTCAACTACGTCTGCTATGCGGAATGTCGGAATGAGAACGATGAGACTGTGCGAACCATCACAAGCTACGATCGAGTAGCCCAGCTCGTCAGCGCTACAACTTGGTTGTTCCTTGACAAAGAACCCCCGGAAGTCGCCTGGCTCGAATTCGTCAACAAATTCAGTCAGCTGATTGCAGAGGCTTCAGAAATAATTGTTTTCAACAAGTGTACATCAATTTCTTTCGTTAGGAGCAGACCTCGGAAATGGATGACAGTGCGCAACGCAGCATAGCGAGTGTACAGATAGGCTCCAGTACATCATCATCATCATCATCATCATTACACGTTAGCTGGAGGTGGAAAACACCTCAGCTATTGGGCCGCAATACAAAAGACAAGAAAAGGAAAACAGTGGCAAACAGTGGCACGCCCGCTGAGTCCCCAGTAATGGATGGACATCGTTTCGGAGAGCTAACAGCTGGCTGCCGTAAAAAGAGAACCATATTATGCCTAACAGGTGAGATGGTGATTGGAGGGGGATACTAAACAGGAGGGGGATGGGCAAAGGAAATCACAACACAAACGCCATTGGTGCCGGCTCCTAGCCATATCAGCAAGTGTGTCCAACCAAACGTGTTCACCCTCCTTAGGACCCCAGCCAGGCAGTCGGGATGCACCAACCGACGCCAACTTCGAAGTGAGGGTTTTCATTTCTCTCGACCAAGTCATCACTTGGCCTCCTCTCCTCCTCTTCCAACCGCACCCACAACGCGCAAACAATGCACGTCGCGGGAGTCGGTGTGCTGGCATGCGCAACACGTGACCCAGCCATCGGAGCCTGGTGCGTGATATAATGGTGCTGAGCGGTTCACTCGCTTCCTGCACCAAATACGCGACGTCGAACACGCTCATTGCTCACGCGATGTTCCCACCAGACATGAGCTAAGCTGCGAAGGCAGCGATGATCGAATGTGACGAGTCTCTTTATGTCTGTCGACCTGATGGGCCAGGTTTCACAACCATATAAGAGAGTAGAACTGACGGCTGCGTTGTAAACTCTGCCTTTCAGGGCGAGAGTAATGTCGCGTCTGCGCCACAGGTGGCGGAGATTGGCCAAAGCACCTCGAGCTTTTGCTATGCGGTTCGTAACCTCATCTTCAATCCCACGGGTGCTAATATAGCTGCCTAGGTACTTGAATTCCTGAATGACTTCTAGCAGATCACCACCAAGCGTTAGCGCAGGGTTGGGTCCCTGCCAATCTTGGAGAAGTACTTTGCATTTCGATGGAGCAAAGCATAGCCCAAAACGATTGACAGCCAGTGCTAATCCGTCCAGAGCTCTTTGGCATGTTTGGGGGCTGTCACAGATTAGGGCAATATCGTCCGCATACTCCAAGTCAAGAAGTCGCTCACCAGTACTAGCAACTTGGAACAGCTACGTAGCCCAACTTAACCACTACACTTAACTACTAAGAGAAGACAAAGCCGTCTATCAGCAGAACGTCGAAAAACCAGTGCTAACTACCAACTGCTGTACAAGCACGTTAATAGCCTACGAAAGGTGAGACAAGGGTTGCCTTCACTCAGGACAGCTGATGGCCCAACAAGAACGGCTATGGAAGCGGCAAATACGCTGCGGATGCAATATGCCCCCACGTTTCAGAGGTTCTTGCCACCAAGCGATTTTCCAACCTTTGTCGTCTCCTCGTCAGGACTAACCTACATCACTTTTACCGCGGAGGCTGTATTGCAATAGCTGACTTCTCTACGCAAACACAGCTCGCCGGATGTCGACACCATTCGTCCAGAGGCATTGGGAGCAGCAGCAAGCCAACTGGCAGTGCCTTTAGCTCAGTTCATTCAGCGCTTCTTAAACCAGAATCAAGTTCCCGCCATGTGGAAACTTGGAATATTAACCCCGACTCACGAAGGGTGAAGCAGAACTGATCCCTCCAACTACCGCCCAGTATCCCATCTTCCTATACTCTCCAAGCTCATGGAATCCATAGTTGCCGATGCACTGGTGTGCCATCTGGAAAACTGTAACATCATCACGTGTGAGCAGCACGGTTTCCGTCGATAGCGGTCATGTACAACGAATTTACTAATCGCACGCAGTAGTTAGGCCGAGGCAGCTGACACTGGAGAAGGCGTTGATGTGATCTACCTGAATTTTTCGAAAACTTTTGGTCATCTAGACCATCGGATACTACTTTCCAAGCTCCAGCTTTACGGGATCGGCGACCCCCTTTTAAGCTGGATTGCTAACTTTTTTACTTCAACGATAATTAGTGGTCAGAGTTCGGTGCTTTTTATCAGACCCCATAAAAGTCGATTGTGGTGTACCGCAAGGCTCAATTTTAGGTCCACATTTGTTTTTGGTGTTTATTAATGACCTTGCACAAGGAATCGCCTCAAACCTCCTAATGTTTGCCGACAATGTCAAACTTTGACGCAGGATCCAGACGAACGCCGATCAGTATCTGCTTCAGAATGACCTAGATACGGTGTATCAATAGTCAGCCCAAAACTTACTGCATTTCAATATCAGTAAATGCAAAGTACTTTCCATCCAACATCAGAGCAGCTACTCATATAGGCTAGGAACGAACATACTGCAACAATCAGCTGTCGAACGTGACTTGGGTGTCCTGCTTCAAGGTGACTTGGGTTGCTCCAGGCAATCAGAAAAGGCCTCGAAGGCTGGGAACCAACACTTCGGGTTGTTGCGACGGGCGTTTGGACAGATAAACAGCTCCATATTTCGACAACTGCTCAGTGCGTATGTTCGCCCACATGTTGAATACGCATTTCAAGCCTGGCATCCATGGCTGAAACACGACCTTAATGCACTGGAGCTGCCACAACGTCCGGCGTCTAAGAACGTAATTGGAATGCTCAATCTTTCATACAGGAGAGGCTGCAACGATTGGGGGTATTCAGTGGAAGCTATCGCAGACTACGAGGCGACCTGCTTATGGCATACTTGATTCTACGAGACCCACATCATGTGTGCCGCCTTTTGCTGCGACTCAGCACCAATACAATCCTGAGGGGCCACTAATTGAAAATCGCTGTAAAGTATAGCCGCCTGGAGTGCTGCAGAAATTTCTTTTCCATTCGTGTCTGTCACCCGTGGAATGCTCTCCCAGAATCGGTCGTCTCTGCACCGACACTAACAGTATTTAAAAGACGGTTGGACAACACACTCATCCACTTACAGTTTGTCACTTGACACTCCGTCTCCATCCTACACCTGGAGTTTACCATGGAATTATTTGATGTTAACTGCGGGTGCTGTGAATCAAAGCGGATTGCAGGACTACGGAGGAGCAAACGATATGTCCTACTTTTCATATTTGAAGTACTAACTGTTTTAGTATCACTTATCCCCGGGGATGTGGATGGAAGAAGAGCAGGGGTGGCCAAGCGATGACTTGGTCCAGAGGAATGAAGTCCCTCACTTCGGAGCTGGCCTCGGTTGGAGCGTCACGGCTTCTTGGTTGGGGTCCAAAAGACGGTGAGCACGTTTGGCTGGATACACTTGCTGACATGGCAAGGAGCCGACCTCAGTGGCGTTCCTGCTATGAGTTTCTTTGTCCCTCCCCATCCCTTTTAGCCTCCCTCTCCACCTATGATCCCATTTCGTAGCGTAAAACATAATAATTTTTCTTTTGGTCTAGTAACCGGCTGGTAGCTTACCGGAACGATGCCTATCCGTTGTTGGTAGCTCAGCTGGCATGCAACTGTTGTATTTATTTTCCTTTTCCTTTATGTAATGCGGCACAGTAGCTGAGGTGTTTTCCACCTCTAGCTGATGTGTATAATTATGAATGATGAATATCACTTATCATTATTGTTATTTCCATATCCCCACCAACGCTTCTTAACCCGTACAAATTAAGTGTTCATTGGAATAGGTGATCATGTCTCAATTAAAAGACACACGTTCTCTTGTCGTTGATAAATGGCTGCCCTACTAGATCCACTACTGCTGTCAGCTTGACCGGTACAATCTTTGCCACCTATATCTCTAAACGTATAGGTAAACAGCGC